TGCTGATATAAAATATAAAGAGTATATTAATGTGGTGCTGGTATAATATATATAGTATATGAACCCATGGAAATTTGGCCAAGAGTGCTTGCTCCTCAGCAGTGGTGCTGGAGAAATCTGAGATCCATTAAAAAAAAAAGGATGAAGTTGTACCCTTAACTATGCATGAAAGTTAACTCAAAATGAACCAAAGTCCTGAACATAACAGTCATAAAGTTTTTAATACCAAGAAAACAGAATTTGGTATTGATTTCTTGGATATAACCAAAACATGGGTAACAAAAGTAAAATTGATAATTCTAGATGATATCAAAAGCAAGGATACAACCATGAAATGTAATGAAATTGTAATGTAATAAGATTTTACAAAGGATTAAAGCACAGACTATGTATAAAGAACTCTTACATTTCATTAACAAAAAAATTGTTTAAAAAATAGACAAAAGACATGAATACAAACTTCTCCAAAGAGAATATGCAATGGTCGATAGGCAGATTTTTAAAACAGTCAGCCTTCTAATTAATTAGGGAGGTACTAATGGAAGCCTATCAGGATGCTTAAAGTAAATTGTGTGTGTGTGTGTGTGTGTGTGTGTGTATGTATTTTATAAAAACAGAAAATGACAGCTACTGGTGTAGATACAAGGAATATAACTGTGGTGCATTGCCAATAGATAAATAAATTGATGTGTCCACTATGAAAATGCATATGATAATATCTAAAAATGATAAATATTAACAGGAACTTAATATATTTATAGCAGCATAATTCACATTAGTCAAAAAGTAGAGGCAGTTCCAGAGTTTATCTGCACATGAATATTTGAATAAAATGTGATATGAACTGGACATGATGGCACATGCCTATAAATCCAGCACCTGGTAAGCTTAGGCAGAGATTGTTAAATGTGATACCAGCATGGAGTACTTATCAATAGCTTTTGCCAAGAAAATTTGTATATACAGTAGAATGTCATTCAGCTTCAGAAAGGAAGGGAATTCTGAGGCATGCTACCACAGCAGTAAACCTTAGAAAATATATTGCTCAAAACTGTGATTCCTCTTCTATAAGCTATCTGAAATACCAGAATCATAATAGTAATTACCAAAAGATGTATGAGTGAGTTTGAATGCACTGCCACAAATACACTTAATTCACCGAGCTACATACTTAAAAGTGGTTAAGATGGTAAATTTCATGCTACATACATGTTAACCACAATTTTTAATTTTTTGAAATTCTGAAATGGACAGTGGTGGTTGTACACCTTTAATCCTAGCATCTGGGATTTAGAGGCAGGTGGATCTCTGTGAGTTCAAGGCAAGCCTTGGTTCAGATGACAACCAAGGATACACACAGAGAAACCTTGTCTCAAAAAAGAAAAAAATCTAAAATATGGTTACAGTGCATTATTGAGTTTATAAAATTTGTATAAGCATAAGGGGTAGGAAAAATAGCACAAAAAGACGAGGCGTTGGTGGCGCACGCCTTTAATCCCAGCACTTGGGAGGCAGAGGCAGGCAGATCTCTGTGAGTTCGAGACCAGCCTGGTCTGCAGAGCTAGTTCCAGGACAGCCTCCAAAGCCACAGAGAAACCCTGTCTCAAAAAAAAAAAAAACAACAACAAAAAATCACAAAAGACAAGAGGAAGAAATAATGGTGCTGGCAGCATGGAGGATCACACCCAGGATCTCAGGAACCAGGAGGCTGAAACCAAATGATTATGTGAAATTTAGGCCAGCCAGTAGAGTGAGACCTTGTCTCAAAACAGGTTGCAGGGGGACAGAGAACTATATATGTTCTTATACAGTGGTGTAACTGTGGTTAAATATACATGCATTAACCCTAAAGCAGCCGCTAAAATAATAGAATAAAGAGTTATCAAAATGGCTCAGCTCATGAAAGAACTTGCTATACAAGCCTGATGACCTGAGTTCAGTCCCAAAACCCACATAACCAAAAGATAGATCTGGCTCTTGCACATTGTTCTCCCATCTTCACAGAAGTTCATGTATACATACACAAATTAATTCATGTAAAAACTTTTAAGAGTTCTAGTCGTACCCAACAGAGGAGATGGCTAGGACACATGAAGTAGGAAGCAAGTTCCAGGCGAAACGATTTACAGATAAAAAAATCTAATAACCCTGGGGTCTGAAATATTTGGTGTAAATATATAATTCAAAAGCAGAGATTAAGATAATGGATTTTTTAAAAAGCAAGACCCATCTATGTGCTGCCTCCAAAACTGCTCAGCCAGACAGTGGTGGTATACAACTTTAATCCCAGTGCTTAGAAGGCAAGGGCAGGCAGATCTCTGTGAATTCGAGGCCAGCCTGTTCTACAGGGTGAGTTCCAGGATAGCTAGGGCTGTTACAGAGAGAAACCCTGTCTTGAAAAACCAAATATGTGTGTGTATGTATGTATGTATGTACATATATATTATATAATATATACATATAATATATAAATGCATGAGACTAAGGAGGTATTTCAGGAGCATGATGCTTGTATATATAAGTGTTAAAATGCAAATAAATAAAAAACTGACAAAAGCATACCTTAGTAACACAAAATAAACTTTTAAATGGTTATATTAATGCCAACGTAAATTTTAGAGCTCTGCTGTCTCTGGGGATTTAAGTTATTTCTTAATAAAGCAGTCATTTAAACAATAAGACAGCACAGTCTTAAATGCCTAGTGGCAAGGCTTTGTAAACAGAGGCAAGAGCTGCTGGCCTGCCTTCTCAGTCACTGAGGGATGGACAGCCCAAGAGGAGCTAGAGTGGGAAAGACTTACATGGCCAACTATGTAGCCTGGTGAACATTGGTAGAGAACTTCATCCAACAAAATCAAAATATACATTCTACTGACATACATTCCAGGCCATAGAACAACAGAGTCAAGTTTACACAAATATAGTATGTCCACCGACCACTTGAAATTAAATAAATCAATAGCATAAAAATTTCAATAACCCCCAAATATGTGAATATTAACCCATAGTCTTAGAAAATCAAAAGAGAAAATGTAAACCATTTGAACTGAATGAAACACAAGACAGTCCATCAAAATTAAAATACTGTCTCTAAAGCAGTGTATGAAAATAAACTGTCAGCTCTAGCCACGGGGTTTCAACATGTTTTTAAATGAGTATCACATGTACCCCTTAAATGTATGCAGTTTAAGCCCATTATATCTATATAAGGCTGGTTTTTTTGTTTGTTTTCAAGTGTGACAGATGGGACTCAGGCTAAAGAGACTTGAAAAACATAGCAACTAAATAATATTTAGACTTTATATCCTGGTTCATATAAGCCAGCTACCAAAAGACATTCTGGGGCCTCAGCGATTAAGAGCATTTATTAAGTAAAACAGTAACATCAAACAAAAACCCCTGTCAGAGATGGAAAATGAAGACTGGATGAAGTGACAAGTTGATATCCTTAAAATACAGGGGAATTTTTAGATGAAATTACAAGCAAAATATTGATAGTTAAAGCTGGATGATAGATACAAAGATGTTCAGTAAATTATTTGATTTTGATTTTTAATTTTCCCCTAATGCTCTCCTGTTTTTCTTTTCACACAGCACAGTGTGAGGTCTCCCATTTTTTTATCCTCCCTATTCTTTCAGCTTTTATCTGCCTCTACTCAGTTTAAAATCTAATTGTATTTAGAGTGGCTGCCTTAAACAGTCTCAGTTTGTGTCTGTTATCCAGTGTGAGCACAGACTCACAAAACATTCTGATTCTTTTGTCCAGAGTCCCATCCTGTGCCTGGCTCCTCCTTGCTTAGTTTCCCAAGTCTTAGCTCCACCATCACTTCCTCAAAGCCTTCCCTGGCATTCTTCCCTTTCCTAACCCATCACTTACTACCACATGAAATGCATTCCTTGGTCATTTCCTAAGTTCACATGGCTTCTTAAGGCTACAGGTTCACTGTCATATCATCATTGTGTTGTTGGTATCCAGCATTGCTATTTGTGACTTGGCAGTGTTGGAGAAGTACAATTTTAGAAATTATCTGAGTTAAACCTAGACAAGCAAACACCCTTTTCTAATATCACAGAGAATAGTGTGAGCTGAACCAGGAGTAGACTTGTCACTATGTCTGTTCTCAGTGCTGTAATGAGAACTTAGTGAGGGCTTTCCTGGTTTCTTTTGCTAAGACAGTTCATATTCTTAACAGTGCTTATTGGTAGAGCACACTGCAAAGCTCTCAGGGCAGTCGTGCCGTGCTAGAGGATGGGGCAGCACTGATAGCATGACATCACACAGTACACAGATAGCATGACATCACACAGTACACAGCATGGCATCACACAGTACACAGCATGACATCACACAGTACACAGCATGGCATCACACAGTACACAGATAGCATGACATCACACAGTACACAGCATGACATCACACAGTACACAGCATGGATCACACAGTACACAGATAGCATGACATCACACAGTACACAGCATGGCATCACACAGTACACAGATAGCATGACATCACAAAGTACACAGCATGGCATCACACAGTACACAGATAGCATGACATCACACAGTACACAGCATGGATCACACAGTACACAGATAGCATGACATCACACAGTACACAGCATGGCATCACACAGTACACAGATAGCATGACATCACACAGTACACAGATAGCATGACATCACACAGTACACAGATAACATGGCATCACAGAGTACACAGAAACAGAAGTGCCTGTAACACATACTTTTCTCTCCAAATATACTTTTTATTCAACTAGAATGAAGAATCTATGGTATAGCTGCCAGTTTTTTAAATTTGTATTTCTTTTCCAGAATCCTCTTATATAATGTGACAGACGTGGTCTAGGATAATAGAGACATTATATCTTTAATTATTTAAAGTAAAGATTATATGTTCACTTCAGCATCAGGTACTAAAATGAGAACCATTATTTATAGATCCTTCATTTAATGTTTTTTTCTTATTTTTTGTTTTCTTAGCGTCGTCTTGGAGATGCAGCCAAGAAAGCCATCAGTAAATTGACAACTAGAACAGTGAAAAAGGGCGATAAGGTATAGTAATGAAAGTACTTTCCTCTTTGAAATCTCGCTCATGCTTTGCCTGTCTGGGAAGCCTTCAGCTAGACTTTGAGCTTTCCTGAACTTCAGGGACTCTTGCTATTAACAGCATCACTGACTATTCACGGCTAACACTGACTGTTCTTCTGTAGCTTCCTGCTGTTACAGCCAAGTACACATCTTCCAGGAGTTCTGAGACAGTTTGCACATAGAATAGCCAAGAGAAGTACATGTTCTTCTATTTCTTAGGACTGCTGCATCTGTTTTGGGTTTTGTTTCTTCTCAGTTAAGACCTGCCTCAAGACCTTCATTTCTATGGAATTTCAGTTAGCAAGGGCTTTACTACAGGCTGACACTTGTAAAAAAGAACAGTTTGTCAGTGTTGGACCTAAAGGGAACCAAGTCAAAGAGACAGCAACAAATAGCAGAGCTGAAACCTTTCTTCACAATTCCTTAGTCAGAGTCAAGTGCCAAATGGCATCTTAGTGTTAGTTTCTATTCTCAGTATATTCAGATTTACCAAATTTGAATTATTATTTTAAAAATAAAAAGAAATCTCAAAAATAACAAGACAATCTGGCACCCCACACCAAGTGCTAATATTTTAGCAGAGAGCTCTGAGAGGAGGATTTTGTGTGACTTGTCTGTTTTCTGTGTTTTGCCACATTCTTTCTTTCACCATTTTTACTCCTGTGCCTATGAATACTGGAACTGGTTGCCCTCCGCACAGCTGCAGAGGTAGACACGTTCTCACTGAGTGTCACTGCAAACTAAGGAAAGGGCACTTGCAGAAAACAGGCTGCATCAAGACAGTTGCACTTAACCCTAGACAAACCTGATACAAATGCTTTCTTGGCTTGGCCAACTGCAATTAATTAGAAAATCCCTGGATTTGGTACAACCTCACTATCTTCTTCTACCCCTTCCCAGTACTAAACAGTCTTTCCTATACTTATGAAAACTAGCACACCTTTTGTATCCCTTGCACCTGCCAACCATGTGGCAATGACTTAGGCTATTGGCATACTTCATTTTAAGACAACTCTAGGGGAACCCTTCTCAGCCCAGAGGATGAAGGAAGTCAGTTAACCTAGTGACCAAACAAGTGGTTAGTCTTTCCTGATTCTTGATAAATACTCAATATTGAGTTAAACCGGTAACTGCCCCAAGTCTGATCAGAGTGCAATTTCCACACTTGAGTTAGGACTGTAACATAGGAGTCTACTGAGTGTTCCCCATCATATGTAGCTGTGTTTTAGGAATTGATTGGCTGCATGAGCCTCTCGATGAGGATCTTAGTATTTCAGATTGTAATAGTGAAACCTATTGAGCCTTGGCAGTAATAGAGGAATTGGGGTAGACACATGATACTTCAAGATGGTCTGCTGTGAATTGTGGAAAAAATAGAACTCTTACTTATTCTAAGACATATCATAAATAGAATTAGTATGGATTGCATGATTAGTTCATATGTAATTTGAGTCAACCTACTTAAGCAAATGAAAAGTTACTATTTTTAGTTCTTTTCCCTTTGTAGTCATCTGTTTACCATAGCATTGTTCCTAGCTGAGTTGTAGCTCTTCTGTGCACACACTCAGCTCCTATGCTTTGTGTTTCAGGAAACAGACCCAGACTTCGACCACTGTGCAGTCTGCATAGAGAGCTATAAGCAGAATGATGTTGTTCGGATTCTCCCCTGCAAGTACGCCAGATTTCTCTGTTTGAAAGGAATGTATTGATGTCTGCATGTCTCTCCTCCAGAGTAGGCATCTACTTGTTCCTCAAAGCCACCTGACCATAGCTTTCCAAGGCCTGAATGCTGATAATGGGAGATCATGGGCAACTCTGACCAGTGTCCCTCCCAAGAATTATTTGCATATGTCTATAACAAACATGTGACAAACTGGGCCTGGTGGCCCACACCTTTAATCCCAGCACTTGTGAGGCAGAGAGAGGCAGGTAGATCTCTTAGTTCAAGGCCAGCTTGGTCTACAAAACGAATTCCAGGACAGCCAGGGATATACAGAGAAACCCTGTTTAAAAAAAAAAAAAGAAAAGAAAAACGACAGGCATTGGTGGTGCACACCTTTAACCCCAGCACTTGGGAGGCAGAGGCAAGTCTACAGAGGGAGTTCCAGGACAGGCTCCAAAGCAATACGGAGAAACCCTGTCTCAAAAAAAAAGAAAGGAAAGAAAGGAAAAAAAAGAAACAAACACATGATAACATCCAGATACATAATAACCTAAGAATTTGTATTCAGTGACCTTCCTGGGCTAGGTAGTACACTTGTCTAACACGTCCCAGGTTGTGGGTTTGATCCCTAGTACAGACAAAAAAGACAAAACAAAACACTTTGTTTTTTTCCATCTCAAATTAGAGTTCGTTACAAAGCCCTCCCATGAGTCTCCCACCTTGTCTACCTCGTTCTGGATTCTACTATGCTAAGGACCTGAGTTATTCAGAATGGGGGACTGCTGTTTGCTTTGTAGCTGCTCTAAGACAGTACACTACTCTGCAGAGGGTACATTTCTATCTTCTCTGATCATGCCAACAATCCAAAGGGGCATTTTTCTCTTGTTATACTGGCTAGTTTTTCATTCAGTGGCAAAGTATCTGACACAGCTACTGAAGAAGAGGGTTATTTTGCAGTCTTAGAAGCTCTCTGTGTAACACCCAGTGGGCCCTGTTGGGTTAGCCTCTGGCGATTGTGATAGCAGCATACATAGTGGGAGTCCATGTACAAGCAAGAGGACAGGCCAGCTATGCTTGCTACTTTTGTAATAACCTCACGAGAACCACCAGTAACCACCTCCACTAGGTCCCATTCCCCAGAAGTTCTGCCACCTACCAACTACACCCTCCTGATGATCAAAGTTTTCCCACAGTGGACTCTGGGTGGGACACTCCGACTACACTCCAACTGTAGCACCATTGTCAGTGAAGAATAATGAAGCCAGCTGTAGACTCCAGGTTTACACAGTTCAAATATGGCAGAGCCAGTAAAGGGGTCTGACTTCAACAGTTCCTTATATAAGATCTCTAGCTAGTACTCGCCTTCCCTCCCTCCCTGCTTCTCTTCTCTTCCTCCCTCTCTGTCTCTTTTCTTCCCTCTCTATCCTTGCCTCTCTTCTGAGGTATATCCCCAACATTCTTCTTACTTTAAGACAGGATCTCATTAAGTTGTCCAGACTGATTGTGAACTCACTCTGTAGCCCAGACTGACCTTGGACTTGCCAAACTCAAGTTTCAACTTCCCATGTAGCTGAGATTATACAGGCCTGTACCACCAGGCTGGACTATGCAAAATTCCTTTATAAACATGTTGATTTCTACAATGGCTCTATGCCAACCTAGGGAATGTGAAACACCAAGATCTCCTGTTCTATGTATAAAATGCAAAATTACCTACTAAGAAAACCTAAAAGCAAAGATTTCTACTGTCTTCTCTCATTTTTTGAAAAGATGCTCACATGACCCTTGCTTTGTGAGCTTGTGACGGAATAAAATATTTGTAGGCAGTTGTGTCTCCATGAGGCTACCAGTCCTATTTTACTTAGGAAGTAACATTTTGTGCCTAGGAAATATACACAAAATAGATTACTTTTTTGTTTTAGTTTTGTTTTTTAATCCTGGATTTCCAGAAGAATGCTGTATATAGAAATAGAAATCCAAGATTCTGGAGTAAGCATTCCAATTCTAGGTCACATAAAGGAAGACCTTACCAAACTGAATGTAAGCAGCCCTGTAGAAAATTAGGTACTGACCATTTTTCTTCTTCCAGATATTTAAAATCTAAATGTGTGAGGCTGAAGGAAGTACATTTACAAAGCAAGTCAGGAGAAGGATAGGTGGGGTGCATTAGAAAGCAGAGCCAGCAAGTGTCTGCTTTGACCAGAAAGAAGCTGAGTTAAATTTCTTGTCTTCCTATCCCTGTCCAGGAACCCCTAGACCCAGCTGGTACCTAAAGCAGAAAGGGGAAGAAAAAGTCATTCACTGTTACTATTAAAATGGAAATGTCTTCCTCAAGGGAATCTGATCCTTAAATAGAGGACTCTGGACTGCTTGCTCTCATTCTTGCCACCCTAAAGCCTTAACTTTTCTAGGTTCATTCTAAGTACCCTCCATCCCTCCCTCCCTCTCTCCCTTCTAATTCCTCCCTCCCTCCTTCCCTCCCTCCTCCCTCCCTCTCTTCCCTCTCTTGATCTCTTGCTCTCTCGAGCTCCAGTTTGACTCAGAGCTTTCTCAACCCAACTGTTAGATCAGTGAGTGATTTTCTAAAGACTCTTAAGTGGAGCCCCACCATACATCTTAGTCTCTGAGTGATTCTGATACCACAGGGTCATACTCTCCACTGAGGTTCATGGCCTTGTGAGACCTTAGCTTTCTGCAGTGGAAACAAAACAGCTGCTGCTTAGTCTTTGTGTTTGTGAACTGCTTTTGAAGAGTACAAATGTTGTCCCACTTCAGGGAGTTTCTTTGCACTCCAGTTGCAACACTGTCCCCTTCACTGTCTTGTCCTTACTTTATGCAAGATGTGCTGCACTGGCTGTGTTCATTCTCGATGTTGCTTCACAGTCAGCTGCTCTTTTCAGTCTCAGTAAGTTGATGCTTTCTCTAAATTACAGTGTTTAGCCTTCTCAGAACATGTTGTCCCCTCACCTTAACAGTGCTACCATCCTCAGGTGCAGTAAAAATTAACTTTTCCCATTGAGCAACCTTTTGTGTCAACCTTTGACATATACAGGGTTTCTCAGCCTTGGCACTGCTGACATTTCAATTAGATGAGTCTTTATTTGAAGGAGAAGGTGAGGAAAACTGTCCTGTACATTACAGGACATTTAGCACTGTCCTCAGCCTCTGTCCACTACTTCCCAAAAGTACCTATGCCACACTGTTTTGACAGCACGGAATGTCTCCAGATGAGAATCACTGACCTAGAAGAGGTTGACCAAGGAAATTCTTCTAACCCTAGATCTTCTCCAAGCATCTTATTTCCAGAAAGTAGCCCTGGTGTTCCTGTATCGTGTCTTCCCACCTAGAAGGCCCCTCCATTTTTTATCTCTATGTTCTTTGACCCTGAGCCTTCCCTGGATTTCTCCATCTCATATGGCTCAGCACTTTTGCCCTTCACTGTCTTCCACCTGGTCTTTAAACAGACTGGACAGAGTTCCACCCCTGACTGGATGCCAAGTGCTAAGCAGAGCCTGTCTCCTGTCCTGTTGGCCCTCCCTGTTCATCACAGCATGTCTCCTTAAACTCTGCCCTGACCCCATTGTTCTCACTCTCAGCCAAGTAAACGTTACCATCAGCTTCATAGGGAAAATAATTGTAGAGGCTTCCAGCATGTCTGCCTCTGCACCCTCCTTGGCACCTCCTAGCATGGAGGAGACAGCTCAGCTCTGGTTTGATGCTATTCTGCCTGGGTCTTTGCCTGCCAGCTCTTTCCCATTCTGTGAGACCTTGATCTATTGTCTGCCTGTTCCCTTGGCTTTGTTCTGTCTGTCTTTGCTTCTCAGCATTTAATCATACTCAAGCCTTTGAGACTGCAGTTTGTTTTAAAACTGCCTCTTACCCATACTACCCTGCAGCTAGCTTTTGATAGACTCTTTATTTGCTGTTTCTCCTCAGTTGGAAGATAGCCAGATGTCTATGTCTGTCTGTCCCTCATTTTTAACAAGCCTTTTCCAAACTAAACCTTTCTCTATATATGTCAAACCTCTTGTGAATTGTTTTGTCATGTGACCTTTTCCTTTGTCCTCTATTGCACTAATTTACTGTGGACAGGTGGCAGTTGACATTGCTGTGGGTACCTCCTGCTTATGTCAGTTGATTACAGTTGATCACCTTTTGGATGTTAGCCATCATAGCTCCAAACTGAGGAACAGTCGCCTTATTTAAAGGTTAGCCACAAGATTTTAGTAGGTAAAAATACTGAGAGTGCCGCAGCATGAAGATGCCAGCCAGAGCTAAAACAGGTCAGGAAGCTGGCTGCTGGCTGGCTGGAGAGTTGCTTCAGTCACCCCCAACTCAGAGGGAGATCAGCTCAAACAGCATCTGCCAGGCCTGGCTGGGGAAGGAGTTCTTGTGTCTGACCTTTAATAATCCTGGATCCTTTCATGTTTGCCAGGTCCTTAACAGGGCATCCAGAGGCTGCAGAGTTGTAGATGCTTCCCCTCCCCTCTCCGCTAACCCCCCATCCCCACTGATTTTTGACCTCTATTTCTGGCCCCTGGGGAGTAGGAAGGAGGAGGCCCTGAATTTCAGTATTGCAGGCTTTGTTTCTTACATAGTCTGTGTGTTTCCCATTGTGTGTCTCACAGAGTTTCTTACAGAAGTAAAGGATGTGGTGGAAGCTCTGATACGTTGTCTGCACATCCCAGCCCACCACTTGGTCTCTCTCTGCCGCTGTGTGTGTTTTTATTACGAGAGTTTCTCAAGACAGTGAGGAAGAACTGCTTTTCAGGGCCTGCCCCTGTGGTTCACCCTCCAGTGAGAGGGCACCATGACGGATATGCTAGTGTCTAAGGCTTGTTTCAAAAGTGTTCTTGCCATTTATTGGGATGTTGCATGGAACATTAAGATCACTTTGCCTGTTTAGCAAATCTTTCATCTCTCGACCCTCAGTGCTTCTCAGAGTATTCCAGGGTCAGTTTTCATGTACTTCAGTCAGCATCATGAGGTGATCAAGCCTGTCTTCCCCACTTTCCCATCCTTGGTCCTTCAGGGCAGACAGCTGAGAGTCAGAAATAGTGGGCCAAGGATCCAGATGCTCTGTAGCAAAGCTTTGCTCAGAAACAAGATGAAGGACATGGTGAGTATGGAGAGCAGTAAGCTGAGGAAGTGATCACAGAAAAATGGAGAAAATAGGTGAAGAAGGGACAGCTGCAAGCCCAAGCATTTGTTCACAAAGGGACCAGGTAGGAGAGTGCAGGATTGTTCAAGGCTGGTGGTGCAGAGAACAGGGGCTTACTTAGTTTTACCAAGAAAAGCTCTGGGGCTTAGGGACAGAAGGTCTGGGGTCAGACGCACAGAGGCTGGATTGGTGGAGATCAGAAAAGATTGGCTCTGGGTCATGGAAGAAGGGTTGAAGTAGTTGTCTGGGTGCAGGTGATAGCTAAAAGGAACATTTGTTTTTAAAGAGAAGAAATATTTCTTTTAGGTATGAGTTAACTAAGAAAGAGATTTTTATTTGTTTAAAAATAGTCAGTCTTTATTGTCTTCTATAATCATACAAAGGAGAACATGGTAATAATCTAAAGGGATGGAACAGTTTTCTTCTAGATCAACAAATCTATAAGAAAATAAGTACGTAAGAATCCCAACATAAGATCAACAAATCTATAAGAAAATAAGTACTTAAGAATCCCAACATAAGAAAAATCCACTTATGACTCTTTTAAGGTCAAAGGAACAGACAAGTTGTAAACCCTTAAAATCAACATGTGAAGACTTCACAGCATGTGAAAATGGGTATGGTCATCCCATCTTTTGGGAGGTGATGTCAAAGAAGATCAGAAATTGAAGATGATTCTCAAGTTTAAGGATAATCTGAAAATACATGAGATCCTCTCACCAAAAAAAAAAAAAAAGGGCAGGCAATAAATTAAGTAAGGGAGATACGCCATTATGTTCTTTTCTACATAACCAGTAATAGGAAAAGCAAAAACATTCCCCAAGACAGGCCAGAGCCAAATCTTTATCCAAAGGCAACTGCTGGTTTCTTACCAGAGTTTCTACCATCTGCTGGTTAAGAGTCAGCTACCATACCCACCTTTATACTTCTCACTCCTGAATCAAAGCAGTCCTTTCAGAGATCACATGACCTATTCTACGCTGCCAGCCAGCCAGCCAAATCCGTTGTCCATCTGCAACTAGAATACCTTCTGTCCCACTCTGTCTTGGCACTAACTAAGCCCCCAGACATCCATCCGCTGCTCCCAGATGTATGCAGATTAGGTAATTGTGGTTTAGATTCTACAATTTAGATGAGATCTAAAGGGACCTTTGCATGCACCACCCAGGTTAAGAAGTATAATTCTGGGCTGGAGAGATAGCCGGATGCCCTGAGTTTGATCCCTGGAATTCACATGGTTGTAAGAGAGAACTTCAGGTTTTCCTCTGACTACCACATTGTGAGCATGTATGTGCATACCCACAAATAATAATGTTTTTAAAAAGAAACAGCAGCAGCAGCTTGGTTCTGTTCTATGTTGTACTGCCGCCCACCTTGCCACAGTTGAATGCTGCTGAACAGTAGCTACAGATGACCCTCAGGAAAACTGAGTCCTCAGAAGCCCCTCATCCTTCCCTGGAGCACTTGCTTATGTCCATATACATAGTAAGATATAACACCTTATATTCTACAAATGTAAGTCTCCCTATGGATTGGTAGCTTTCCAGCCTATATAGCCCCTAAAGAGAGGCACTCAGGAGTAGGAATGCCCTATCTGAAAGTTTTAGCCTAGGCTGATAAAGCAAGACTTCAAGATCTTGATTCTGATCTTCCAAGAAATGGGTTATAAAGCCATCAGGTGGAAACTGTGGTATAGTATGTTACTGACTGAAATTGTCATCCCAGTAAAAAGTTTTCTAGGCAATCTTTTTAAATCAAAGCTGTATTTTTAAATACTAACCAAAACATTAAATTATAAATTAACAAGCAAGGTCTTAAAGGTATATGATGACCCAATTTGGTATCTCTCAAATTGTCTTTTATCCCAAACTTAGATTGCAACATTTCTTCCACAACTGTTGATGCCCCTTTGTGTCAGCCCAGCATGCCAGGACCCACCCCCATGCTGGGTTGCAGCTTCTTCAAGTTCCTGTGCAAGGGTACCAGAGCTTGGACATGACCTTTGCCTGTCCTTCAGTCTTCTCCAGACTTCCCATGGGAACAAATTCCTGTTCCAAGAATACAGACCCTTCCGTAGTGACTAACTCCATCAGGAGGATGTGACTTTCTGTTCTCCTGAGTAGGAGAGGATGTCATTGTCCCCCCATCCTCAGCCCTTTAACATATCAGCCGAGAATCACCAACCATTGATCTCTTTCTTAGATAATATCACCACCTTAAAACAGTTCTAACTGCCCTATGACTTTTACCAGTATTCAACCTAGGTTGAGTTCCATAAACTAACACTTATCCAGAGAACTCTAATATAACTGTGACTTAATATCTGTGTGAAGTTCCATTTTTTTAAATGAGCTATTCCTCTAAAATGTAGCTTGTTTATAAAGTCTGGTTATCTTTATTCTTAATACATTTTTCTAGATTTCTTCAAGTCTTTTTTGGAATTCACAGGCAAGTTGAGCACAGTAATTTACACCTGTAGTCCCAGCCACTCTTCCATCACTTGTGATCTTGGGACCATCCTGTGCAACACAGCAGACCCCTGTGTTGGGTCTGTGGCAGAGCACAAAAGCAAGTCCGAGCATCTGTGTCCCTCTCACTCTCATTACACAAGTGTTGTTACCACGTGAGATTGGGTACAGGAGGATTTCTGTAGGTTATGTTTTTATATGCCCCACTATTTATCTCTTAGAATTGAAAATCCCCTAAAGCAAAACATAATTAAATTCTAATTCTTTCCGTTTTGACCTAGGAGTTCTTCAGTGTGTAATGTATGACATTAATTCTCTCTTGTTTTCTAGGCATGTTTTCCACAAAACATGTGTGGATCCCTGGCTTAGTGAACACTGTACATGTCCTATGTGCAAACTTAATATTTTGAAAGCCCTAGGAATTGTGGTATGTTTCCTGTTTGTCACTACTTTCATATAATATCATATCACATGCAGTGTAATACAACTGGCATAATAGAAGCCATGACCAAATCTCTTTAGAATAGTATAACTTTCTTTGTCAATATAGACCTTGTTTGTTCAACACTGCCTTTCTTCCAGATGACTTCAGAGTTCTCAACTACCTCAGGGAACTTGAAAAGAGAATGTAAATAATTATACTAGTCTACTTTTAAAAGTGTGCTTCTGATTGAGAGGACACAAAAGAAATAGGGAATAGAAAACTGTGGTCTAACAGTAATTTTCTTATATTTGGCATAATATGAAATGATGTCATATTCTACCCAATTAAACTTGCCTTTCATGTCTTTGGGTGTTGGTAACTTGTAAGCGGTGAAAGAAGATGGTAACCAAAAAGCCTCAAGAGAACCTTGAGCAACTTAGCAGCTGTGTTAGCCAAGTATGCTGCACGGGAGGTGCCAGGTGCCAGGCAGTACAGTAAAAATGTTCAAGACTTTCTTGCATTCCTTGCTTAAGAAAGGTATATAGAGTTGAAGAGATAGCTCAGCATTAAAGGTTAAGGCTCACAACTAAAATATCAACAAAAGCATATATTCAGGGTATATTTTTAATAGAAAGAAAAAAACTAACTCACCATTGCAAACTGTCCTCTTGTGGCCAAGTTATCCCCTATGTAAGACTAGTTTGACAGAGACTGTCTCATGTGGCCAGCATGTGGGAATAGTAACTTGTCCTCTGTCCATTTTTAATGGAGCCTTCTGGAATAAATAATAGCTGTCATGATTTTTTGATGTGATCTTACTGTAAGCATCATCTGTTACACTGTGCTCTTAATTTTGTTTTTAGTAGAACTTTGGGAGGCTCTAAGACAGAATTCTTTTGCCCTAGAAGCAGTAGCCTCTGGATCTTGGTTCCATTCATCAGCCATTTTTCATATGCTGTCTTCTGCAGACAGGAAGAGCTGCCTCTTACTCTGAGTAGACTTTGGCTGTAGCTGGAGGCTTAGGCTTTGAAGCAGATTATTTTCTTATAGTTTATAAGCCTGAGCTTTGATCTGCTCTTGCTTGTGTGCTTTGTTTGTAAAGGTAGACATTGTGTTTTGTTAACTAGATACCAAGTAAATGGAGCATTTCCAAGAAGTTACAGTATAAACAAGGTATTTTGTTACCTGCTACCTTTTAACAGTAGCATTTAACATTAAAATAATGAAGTAAAATTTCAATCTGAAAGTGCCAGCTTTATAAATGACGCTAGTCTCCCTCTGCCTGTGACTGAGACCACAAATGATTATCATTTCTTTGCCAAGCTACAGTGGATAGTTTTGAGCTGTGGATCTGGGTTTTCCTTTGTACCATTTTTGGGAGAAAATCAGCTGATTCTTTGAAGAAAGCTTCTTAAGTGACAGGAAAGAAAGATGGGCAGGAATATGAGAGTAATTATGTGAAAAAGCAGTGCATGTTAAACATTCGGGATTTTGTAATCTTGTTCTTATAATGATTTCTTAATCTGGAAATATTTTGCAGCCAAATCTGCCATGTACTGATAATGTAGCGTTTGATATGGAAAGGCTCACCAGAACCCAAGCAGTTAACCGAAGATCAGCCCTTGGTGACCTTGCCAGCGACAGTTCCCTTGGCCTTGAGCCACTGCGAACTTCAGGCATATCACCTCTTCCTCAAGATGGGGAGCTCACTCCTCGAACGGGTGAAATCAACATTGCAGTAACAAGTAAGTGGGGACCCTTTGCCCAGGCACCAGACTGCATTGCTGCCTGTGTTGGGCATGAGGTGAATGTCAAGGAGAAAGTTGAGGCCACGTGGTCCAGCAGTTTTATAATGGAAAAGACAATGTATACATTCATCCACTGTATTTAAGCATGCTGGTGATGTTGTGGTTAGTTGTTTGAAGGTTTGTATTAATGGCTGTTCGGTAAACCTTGTTTTGAAATCATTGCATTGCAAATAGACATTTTAAAGGGAGACACTGGAGTACAATGTGGGCTAGCAGGCAGCAGTGCTGGTATGTTGTATGCTGAGCACTGCTGCCCATGTTCTCCCAGACTATAAACAACGTGGTGAAAAACTAATGTAGAATTGAACCTAAAAAGTACTCTGGGCTAGTTATGAAATGTCTTGATTGTTGAACTGCTAATAAGCAAAACTGTACTGTTGCTAGAGCGGTGCCCGTCTGTATACAGTGTGAGTGTGTTGGTGGTGTGTGTATGGGTGTTGTAGGCAAGGCATTCATCCTATAACGAGCAAATTCTTTTCTCCGTTTTCATTCTTTACATGCAGTTTCCATCTAACAACCTCTCACCCATCTCTCGTCGCCACTCTGGTGCTGCCTTTTCTAATTGTGCTGCTGCTTACCCAGGACTTCAAGCCTAGAGTTGATGAGGTTCCACTTACCTCTGGGAGCCAATAACAAACATGGGGGAAGCAGCTTATGGAAATAGCTTGCTCTTCACATGTTAAGGCTTCTGTGGTCTATTTTGTTGAAATGCATGGTTCTGAACCATCCAGAGGTTGCCATTTGTCTGAAGGCCAAGAGCTCTCATTACATCATAAGTAAAACTATTCTTTGATACAGTGTGACTCATTTCTTAACATTTTCAAGTGCTTGTCTTATCAGCATTTCATGGTGTTCCAACTGTGGCATTTAGGTTTTATGGTGTAGAGTTTCAAAACTTGGTCTAGCAGTATGAAAGGAGATAGAAGTGATTTAAAATTGTGTTTTTATAAGTCCTTCATTGATCAGGCATTTATTGAGCACCTACTACATTAAGCACACATCTTATCATTTTTATGTGGAAATGTCTTCAAAATCTTGATAATAAAATCTTTTGATGATAAAAATAATTCATATACCAAATAAGACATTTATCAGAATCTGCACGTAATATCATTAAAGAAAATTCATGTGATAATCTAGACCCTCAGTACCTCATTTCCTTCTAAATTCCTGTATTACCATAAGCAAGTACAGTACCTTTAGTCAGAAGGGTGGCTCAGCCGCAGAAGACTGCTGCTGAGTATTCTTGAGTCTGCCAGATGCTGCTGTGATGGTATTTCTCACATATAGAAACACACATAGGAATAGAGATGTGACTGAAGTTTCTAAACGTAAGTCTGTGAACAAATGTTTATGAGAAGGTGGGCTTGGTGGCAGCTCAGTGCTAGGATACAGTGGCGCATGACTATAATCCAAGCATTCCTAACACTTAGGAGGTAGAAGCAAAAGATTTAGAAGTTCAAGACCAACCTCATCAATCGCTAAAAAGAAAAGAAGGAAAATGAATGTTACTCTGCTTGCTGTTGATAATGTTCATCTCTTGAATTTTAAAAAATACCAGTGTACACTACCGCAGCTAAAGACATGCCTAGGCTACAGCAGTGGATTTCACATGGATTCTTGAGTGTCCATTTTGACTTCAATAAAAAGCTTAAATCTAATGAGGAGGAAATCTGTAATCCAAGACTTAGCAGTGTCTGCAGTGTTCTATGAAAAGAGTTTGCTAAGCATTTTAATCATATAAACCAACCAGGACAGTGAAGATTTAACTCATATAACAAACTTAGCATCCTGGCAGCCCAGAGAGCAAGTTCTTTTAGCCTTTTCTAGAAAAAAAAAAGCCTGAACACACACTGTTTACAAAGCTTTAGGATTGATGAAACCCAGACTAAGAAGTAGTCTGGAAGCACTTGACACTCTCTCCAAGGACCCAGGTTCAGTTCCCAGCACCCACATGGGTTGCCTCACTCCAGCTCCAGGGTGTCCCAACCTTCTGGCCTCCATGGGCACATGTGCTCACACACACACACACATACACACACACACACACACACGCACGCACGCACGTACGCACGCACACGTGCACCTGTGCACATAATTAAAGATAAAATTTTTAAAGAAATAACTATGTTACATATATGAAGTCCTATGAAGATATTATGTTGTACACTAACTAAAAAATGTTAAAATAAGGGGCTGGAAAGGTGGCTCAGAGGTTAGGAGCACTGGCTGCTCTTCAGAGGTCCTGAGCTCAATTCCCAGCAATCACATGGGGGCTTACAATCATCTGTAATGAGATATGGTGCCCTCTTCTGGAATGCAGGCATTCATTTAGCCAGAATACTGTATACATAATAAATAAATAAAAATCTTTTTTAAAAAATATTGAAGTAAAGTTCCTGTTAGGAACAGGTTTGCATGTGAACATATGCCATGCCTTGTTACAGATGTAGAGAAATTTTATAGAATTACTTTGTCAAACTATCCCAATTTAGTTCACCGTTGGCAATATTGGAGCAAATCAGATTGGTTCTCAGGTCCCAGTTTAGTTTCACTCTCTCACTGTGTATGCATGACTTGGATTTTGACTTCTGCACACTTACTTTTTTTACAAAGACAGAAGAGCCAGTTTTACTTCCCATCAGGAGTCATGTACCTATTTTCTTGGCACAACTGTGATGTGTCTTTTTAGCATGAATACTCTAAGTAAACTGATAGATAAGAGAAAATGCAAACTTGAATGACTGGAGAAGCAGCTTTCTGCTTAGCATACCCACAAGACTTTTGAGAACCCCACTCCATGTTCCTACCCCTTATCTAAGATTGAGTATTAGAGTCATGCAGGAATGGCAAAAAGGAAATTTGGAAAAATGATTAAAATATGGTTGTTCTATGGTCATTTAAATTCACAGTACTATCTATGTCCATGTACAGTTCTCCTACATAATTTTCCTGTGCCTTTTGGTGGTCACACTCCTCATGTACTTCTGGATCTAAACTGAAAGAAATGGTTGAGCCATGCTTTCCTCTCTCCTTGCAGCTTTTCTCAGTACTTCCACTAACCTTCTCTAGTTAGTAGCTTTCTGCCAAACTTCCTCCTGCTTGACTTCCTTGAGCCAGCCTTGGCTTACACCTCCGTTGACGTCTGCTTCGTTGCATTTGAGGGAAGTGTTGACATCGATTTGACTTAAATCTTCTCCCCAGAGTGATTTCCTCCCTTTCCTTTGTCAACAGAAGAATGGTTTATTATTGCCAGTTTTGGCCTCCTCAGTGCTCTCACACTCTGCTACATGATCATCAGAGCCACAGCTAGCTTGAATGCTAATGAGTAAGTAACAAATTGTTTTTTGGATTGCATGTGCCAGATGATCCCAAAAGAAACATGTAACTTTCATGAAGGTGGTGAGACTTTGCTTCCCACCTGTTTCATGCTGATCCCAGTGGGGTCATAGTTAGCAAAGTAATTTATTTCATAAGTCATCTATTTTTAGTCACACAGAATGGGAGTTCATTTTGTGTAGTAAGACCAGCATACATGAACAAAGCTCTGGAGGCTCTCTTTAGCACAAGCTGGGTCCACAGCATCATGCAGATGCCAGGACATCAGAACAGTCTTAGTACGTGAAGAATGTCCATGACCTGACCATGGACAGGAATAGCCCCACTCTGTGTGTGCTCATAGAACTTTACCAGGAGCTATAGTCAACTTTGGGAAAACACTAAGGCCTTTCTTAGCTGTGGTCAAGGACAGGAAAGAAGTGGGGAGGAAATCTACTGCTCTCAGAAGACTGTTGGGAGGAAGAGATGATGGAATAGACTGTCTCTCCAAGGGCAGAAAGAGGCCAATATAGGTTATAGAAAGGCAGAGTTGGCTCCCATAAGGAAGAATACCAGTCACGCTTCCTAATGGTGAGATGGCCTTGCCACAAGGAGTGCACAGAGCTAGGAATGCCGGCAGAGGTCGTGTGTCACTATGAGGGCTACTGTAGGGTAGACATCTTGGTCCTTGTGCTGCAGCGACTTTCCAGAGTAGCATTCCACAGCGATATGATAATGGAAGGGTTTGTTTTCTTTTTTCTTAAATGTTATTTACTATCAGTCCTTTTTTTTAACCTGAGTATTCGTACTACCTAGAGATGGACACAACCTGGGCCAGTGCCCAAATTTGAGCCCACATTGCTACTGGTGCACATCATGTGCTCTCTATATTGGAGTATAGCCTAGTGTTTTAAGTTGCCAACAATAAACAGTATCCTTGAATAATTAATATCGTTCAGCTGCGGAAACACAAAACTTTCACTTCTCCTGACATATTATCTCTCACCTGATCTGTTGACAAATACTTTCAGGAAATAGCGTCTGGCATCCATGAAATCTTGAGACATTACAGTGTACATTGCAGTTCTTCACCCTTTATATGAATAGTCTTCACCTGTCCATTACGTCAGTCAGCAGCTAGCTACTTCTGTGGACACTGCTAGATGCATCAGAACACATTATCAGTTGCTCAGATTCTAGAGTCAGTCACACCTAGATTTGACTCTCACTCAACTCCTCCAGTTATGAGACTTGGACATTTAAATTTATCTCAACATTATTTTAATCATCAAAATAAGCAGATAATGATTAATCCACATCATAGGGCTATGGACTTAGCACAGTGCCTAGTACGTAATAAGTGCTCAATAAATGTTAGCCAAACTAATTCTGCCAAGATTCTGCTACAGTTCTGTGAATAAGAGGGCCATCTGGGGCCAGGAGGGTGGCTCAGCAGGGAAGACACTTGCTGCCAAGCCTGATGGCCTGAGTTCAATCCAACTTCCACAAGTTGTCCTCTGACCTACACACATACACACCATGATACATGTACATATGCACATAGGCAAAGAAAGAAAGAAATTAGAATTTAAAATTATAAAGCAAGTTAATTTAATTAT